AATTAATATTTTATTGGAGGGATTTCAAATTTTAATGATTATTTTTTGATGAGAGAAAACGATTAGTTTGTAATGATGGAATGAATTGCTTCAATGATAAAATTGATAAGAGAAAAGAGGGAAGGATCAATGTATGACATGAAGTGATAGTTCCGGTTTTGTTGCCTGTTCTAATTTTTATATTTATTTTCTCAAGGACAAAATGCTTGCTACTTCTAGAAATTTGCTAAAATATTGCAAACTTGCAATTGAAGGAGAAGAAAAAGTAGCGGCAAAAGGTGAAAGATCATATCGTTATTTTCTAGCATTATTAAGTTAACGAAATTAGTTGCAATTAAACGGATTAATTTCAAATTAATTATAAGTTTAATAGAAATTTTTGAGATCAGAGATTTACTTTTTGGAAAATTGTTAAAAAAATTGGCTATCGAAGGTAAAGAATAAAAATCTGTTTACCATTTATTAATTTCAAAAATTTCAGGCTGAGAACAATTAAGCATTGTGCATTAAGTATTTTATCCACTTTTTTTTTATTGAACATATTTGACAATTTAAACATTTTCTAGGCACTTCATGTCTTTACTGAAGTTAGTGACAAAATTATAGTACAATTTAATGAATTATTAATACTACATTCTGCTCAATTTCCAATTAAATTTTCAATTATCAATTGGGGATATATTCATTCTACTGTTGATTCATTTATTTGATAATCAAAGTTATTTCTATTGAAATTATTAGACGATGAATGCATCCATATTATTTCGCTTTTATTTTTTAGACTTTGTCTTTTTTTAAATTTTGTTAGCGGCGAACTTTTTTTCGATACTCCTCGAATTTTATCACAAACAAAGAAAAAAATGGAAGAAAAAAATTGAAGTCTTTCTGTTAATTTACAAGCAAAACTCACTTTAAAATGAAAAATGAAAAGAGGAAGTATGAGAGAAATTCGATTGTGTGACGGATAATAAAGAATGCTTCATTTTGTATCAATTTCATTTATTGGTTCATATTTCTTTCTTCATTCAGTACATGTTAAAATGTCCATTCCTTTTTCATTTCATTTCATTTCATTTTTTTTTTTTTTTGTTTATGATTCTATCTATTTACCAGGGCTTATTTCTCATTACTTTGAAAAGACTGGAAAAAAAAGAAAGTATGACGTATCTCGTATTATGTCAATACGAGGTATGTCATACTTTCTTTTAACAAGTTAAAAAAGAAATAGCAAAATAATTCATTTAGAATAATTTCTTGTTGATAATACTTATGCTATAATCATCAAATTATTATTATTGATATCATTGTGATATCAAAAATCATGCTAACATCATAATTTGCTATTCTGCAAAATCATTCATTCATTCATAATTTTGTAACGTTTTAAAAGGTCTCATTAATAATGAGCTTACCATTTATGCTATATTTGATCCTTCCAATGATATCATTATGAGAGAGAATTGTTCGTGATTCAATGATTTTTAAAATTTGATCTGTTACTAATAATGTCAACAATTTTTTTTTCTTCATCAAAAATTTGAAAAAAAAAAAGAAGAAATAATTGTTATTGAAGAAAAATCATTGTTATTGTTTTTCTGTTCTTTTTTTTTTGTCTTTACTCAAATAGAAGAAGTAGAAATTTTTTTACTCATTTCAGTTACGGTTTAAAAATTTTTCGTGATTTTATTTACTATCAAATAATAAAATTTAATACAAAATATTTCATTTCATTTCATTCTATCTATTCATGCATTTTCCTGCAATTTTGTTTTTTTTAAATGAATTTGTTACATTCTTGCAGAAAGTTTCACGAAAAAGAAAAAAGTCGAATTTTGCATTTATTTCCTTACATACTGAAAATTTGCAACTATTCGCATTCACCACTTTTTTTGCATTGTCTTTTTTTTTCAAAAAATTTCAACCTACCCGCATTCAAAGAATTTTTTTCCCACCGCAGCGCTTCCTGTTTCATTGATAATGAAAACTTTTGATTAATTACCTTTTATATTAACATTCATCATCATTTCTGGTCCAACTCAACAGTAATTATCAGTTATCAAATAATCATTTATCATTCCTTACCATTTATCATTAATCATATTGATAGTGATATTCGATTAACTAATATATTTGTTTTTTTTTTTCTAAAGAAAAAGAAAAGGAAATGATTTTTAATGAATTTCATCTGAAAATGATTCTCAGTGAAAATTTAAATATAAAAAAATTAATGGAAGTGTTAGCTGAAAATGCATAAGCGATGGTAATTGTTAATCACTTCCTGCTACGTCTTCAATTTCAGATAATTGTTTCATTAACGGCATACATTTATCATTTGATCAATATTTATAATTTTCAAATTCAGCAATTTCTCCATTTGTTAATCGATGATCGATTAGCAAATTTATTGAAATAATTCATTGTTCTGTCCTTCATTTCTCATATTTCACTCTTAAACCATTACCGAACAAGGAAAAAAAAAAAACGCGAAATAATAAAAATTTGAGAAGGAGCGTGTGGTGGGAGGGATGATGGAAACGATTCTGAAAATGTTTGTCTTCATTTCATTTCAGAGAAGCACCGATCGCTTCTTGCAAACAGACAATCTTTGATCTCATTTGCATCTTTTAATTTTTTTTTTTTTTTCAACTTTCTTACGCCATATTTTATGTTTATTCGGTAATGTTTGCGTTTATGATAATTCGTTTCGGTATTGCGAACAATAATCATTTCCTTATTATTCATTTACATTCACCATTCGGTTTCTTACAAATTCAAATTTATTTAATAACAAATGAATTTTAATATTCGATACTCATCACAAAACTTGGTTAAATGATTATCATAATCAAGATAAGACACGAACAAATCTTTCACGTATATTCCTTTTTGTTCTTTTTTTCACTTACATAAATTATATAAAATTCAAAATTCTTGAGTAATTATTGAGCAGCCATCCATCATTAATGGATACCTTCCAGAACAAAAAGATTTCTTGGCCAATTCATATTCAAACAGATCTGCAGATATCTTTAAATTATGTTTTATTCTAGATAAAATCATTTCATGTAAACAATGCAGTTCTCATCCATTGTATATTATGTTTACCTTGTACTGAAACACCTGAAAAATTTCTTGTCCAGATTTACACATAAACAAACTCTCGATCAAAAATTTGCCATACGTGATTTTTTGAGATTTCAAAATTTAATTTGTTATTTCTCTCAATGGTTGGATCAAGAATGATGGATGCATTTTCCTAAAATTATACATCTTCAAAGTGCTACACAAGGCATTGTACTTCATTCACTTATCAAGGAAACATTAGATCACAATTTAAAATTTTGAAAAAAAATTAAATTAGAACGAAGGAAAACAGAAATTTAAGAAAAGAACAATTTTTGATTCGATTTCTCACTTTTAATACTACGATATGAAAGACCATGTTCTTCTTATTTAAAAAATAAAAAAATAAAAATTTGAATTGATGATAATATTCGTATAAAAATCGATCATTAAATGAATCTGCACAATATAACTGACAGAAAAAAGAAATGAAAAGAGATGAAGTCGAGAAGAATAGTCTTCAAATATAATTGATGTAATAACAATAATTGATAACAATGATGATACAACTATAATAATAACAATAATAATAAATAATAGTAATAATAAGTAGTAAAAATAACAATAGCAACAAAATAACAATAATAATGATTTAATAGTAATGAAATAGTTGTAATAGGTAATTATGAACAAATAAATAAAAGTAATTGATGAATAGTAAAGAATTTGAGGAATTTTCAGCTATTCTGTTTATCTCAATTCAATAATTTACCTTTAGCTGTGTATAAACACATTACGACACATAAATACAAATTATGTAATTATTTGCTTAAAGCTATGACGATAATTTGAATAAATAATAGTAATAATAAATTTGAACACGTTTTCATTATAGTTGCCATTGCAGTATATCTGAATATTTTAAAAGTTACAAATAATTTTAAAAGTAAATGAGGGAAATTGGCGATCTACTAAACTTTAAAGAAATGCTTAACAAAAAATATATTTGTACTAAAAAATGAAATGAAATGCATGAGATGAATTCTTATTTTTATCGATCGAAATTGATTCAAATTAAACAGATTACATTCATTAAGCTGAAAGATAAGAAGATATCCATTGTATTACAACTCTGATAATTTGTCATCTGATTCATCAAGAAAATAAATTAATTAATTAGGAGGATGAGAGAGTTCTTCTCTATTCAAATCATTAATCTCTTATCATATAAACTTTCCACTGATTAAAATAACGATGAGATAGGAGCAGGAAAGAATATATTAACTAAATTATTTATTTAATGAACTGAAAATGCAATTTTCATTTTAGTTTCTCATGTTGTTACGCATATCCATATGATATGTTTTTTTTTTTTTTACTCTTCGAGTTTTGACATTGAAAAATGTTGCAAAGTTGGTTCATTGGAAGTTTGCAATAATTCTTCTATCATTTTCAAACTAAAAATTTTAAATGACAAATTAGTTTGGGTGAAATAATGATGAAAGCTTAATTTTATTTTTGAAAGGAAACATTTCCCATGATGAATTACAAAAACCATATGATATTTGAAGCAGAAAAAATTACAATGAATATGTGACATTTGCAAATTGCGGTTACTGAAATGCTCTTCTCTTTTTTTAATCCAATAATCAAACTTTATCACACTTATCAATTGATAAAACAATTATAACTGATCAAAAATATTCCTTTCGTCAAAGTTACATAATATTCCAGGAAATTGAGGAAAATGCTAAAATCCAACAATTTTATAATTATTTACAAACTGCATCAAATTGCAAAAGTTTTTACATAAATATCTTTTTCTTTTCTTTTTCAAATAACAAAAAAAAAAATGATTCATCCAACAGTGAAGATTTTCAATGTCAAAATAAAATCATTTTTTTTTTCCTTATTTTCTCATTTATCAATTACAAACGATGGCTTATTTATTAGCAATTCTAGCATTTTTGGGCGCTTTTTGTGTACCGTTATTCGGTGAAATGGCGCATTGGGAACCATTGAATATTGGAATTATCAGGCAGAAAGAAATGCTTCACTTATCATCAACAGTATTGGTATGTTTGTGCGATTAGAAAAAAAAAGAAAATTTTGAATAAATAAAGGCTAATTCTAATAGATATAATTAATTAACTAATTAGGTCTACCGTGTAAAATGCTCAAAATTTGTACAAAATGAATGAATTCTAATGAAATTTTCGAGCATTTAGTATTTTAAATCCTGTACCTGCTAAACGATCGCTGTTTAAATTATTATCATATATTGCTATTGATAGTTCTGTTTCATAGAAGCTATATATGCCTATCATGATATTCGTTTATATAATTCAGTGGTGCATAAAGTTTGCTTATTTTAGTGAAACTGTCAGAAAATTGCTTTAATATAATATAATTAAATTTGACCATTACTTATATTTATCATTTATTAATGACAAAAAAAAAAGTATATATAAAATTTTAAAATTGTAGGATGGTTTACGAACAGCTATTGTTCAAATGCAATCACTCATAAATATATGGTATCTACCAGAAAACGATAAATTAAGCGCTAAAAGTTTACAATTATGCATTCCGCATTGGCATTCACCAATTGGAGAATGTTACATGGAGACAGTACATGGCTTGAAAAAATTAAATCCGCTTGATATTACAAAAGATGTCAACTTAAAATTCTATGATATCAACTTTCTACTTTTCCTACAGGTTTGTTATTTGTTCATTTTATGTGCTTTTACTGTAAGCTAAAAATGTAACCATACAAACAATTACGATATATTTTTATCTCTTCATTTCATTTCAATATTTTTTTTTTTTTTTTCAAGGTAGATGTAAAGAAATGCAATGGTGATGATGGTTTGCTTGCTGCAGCTGCACCTTGCACTCTTATCGATAATAATCGGTAAAATCTTTGTAAATAACAACACATAATGCATTAAATATGCAAGCAATCGAATTTTATCATATTTAATTGAAATTTTTTGTACAAATTGATAAAGAAATATTTTTTTGACAAATTCATGAATGAATTGAAAAGATGATTTGATAGTATTGTCATGTGCTATGATAATTAATTTATACGTGATCATAATCGGTGTATTGTTCTGTCAACATTAGAATGTGTAATATAATAATTTACCATTGTGGTCAACTCTCAAAACACTACAATGCTTTTGATTAGCCAGTCCAACAGCTGCTCAATTAATATTATGTCCATTCAATCGTCGATGGAATTCTTTTCGAGCTATTATTGACTTATTTCGTCATGAAATAATGCATGCATTGGTTGGTTTTCGCTTCGCTTAGCAATACTATCATAAAATAGGCAAAAATTTAGATTTTGACAAATTTGAAATATTTCTCATTGGATAGCATATGGTTGAAAATGATCGGAACAATGAAAAATGACCCGAAATTTTGGTCATTAATATCGATGTATTTTATAAATTTTACTGTTAAATGTAAAAATGCGATAAATCTTCTTGTTCTTCTTCTTCTTCAACATATTCCAATATATTATTATATGTAAGGATGAAATTTTAATGTTAAAAAAATGTTCCCTTTATTGTTACATTATTATTACTTTAAAATTATCAACTAAGATTATTTAATTGGATTTAATAATTTATAGGGTTTTGGTTTAATAATACCTAGAGAAAATTTTTCCGCTACACCAACAACACGAAAATTTTTTTGGACTGATGAATCGTCCAGTCAGCGTGTAACAGCAACTTATATGGATTTTCAGGATAATGCCGTGGTAATTTATTATTTTAGAAATTCATATCCTATCTTAAACTATTGCTGAAATATGATAAGTTTAATAGCTGTTAGGAAATCAAAAATGAAATGATATGATATGATAAATTTAAAAAAAATTTTTTTTTCAACTTTTAAACATTTAATTTTTTTTTTCTGCACTGTTGAGATCAATAAATCAAAATCTGACAATATTGATGCATTGAAAAATCATGATGCCTTACAAATTTGAATTATTAATCTATCAATTATTTAAATTTGCTTCAAAAAAACTTTTAGGAAAATTGAAGTTTGAAATTTTTAAAAGTCAAATGCATTTTTCTCTCAAGAAAAAGAAAATGTTACTTTTTGTAATAACTTTGAAATTTTCAAAGTTGGTTTACAGTAAGCAACTAAAAATTGATTATCAATTTTGAATTGATAATTCTGCATGAATACATATATTTGAAAGGATGAAGGAGTAAATCGTTTATTAAACGATATTTCATTCAGTTAATTGCTAGAATGAAAAGTGAAATGAATTTAGATTGAAGCACGAAAACATTTCGGCTGTCACAGTCTGCATGGAATTGAAGCAGATGGTATGGATAAAATACATCTCAGCGAATATATTTATGGTGTAAGATTTTTGGCTATTATTAGCTGATGATGGCGTAATCATAACATTAATGATAATAACAGTAATGTATTAGCGTAGGAGCTATATTTTGCTGAACTTTGACCTGCAGGTTTAATGTGAAATAGAATTGATATGTATGGGATGGATGTTGTCATGGTCATATTGGAGATTTTTGATAACAAAATATTGAAAGATGGAAAAATTTTAGAAAATAAATAAATAAATCTAAACAAAAAAATTACTACATTTTTATTACGATAACAATAAAATTTCTTATTGCCATTGCAAATAAAATTTTTTGGAAAATCTCTTTTTAATCTTGAAATAAATTTTTGAATGTTTCTCATTTAAACTGTATATTTCAACTTGGAACAGTAACTGACGAATCATTTATGCTTTTCAATGCATAGGATCATCAAGATTTAACTAATTTTTTTCTAAAGTTTTCTCGTTTAATTATAAGAATTAGTTTTGTTCGTTTTCACTGAGTGTGAGATGCAAATCTGAATTTTTTTTATTCCATCATTTTTGATATATTTAAATGAACTCATTTATTGAAAAATTAAACGAAAAAAAATCATCCTTTGCATTAATTAAAATTGATATTAGCAGATAAGCAATTTATTTCATTTCAAAAATTGTCATCGATATCATTCTGTCTCGGTAACCTTGAAATTGAATAATTTAAAGAAATCCTGCATTTAATTAAGGATGAATTGATGACACCAACGTTGTCAAATGGAAGAAATTATTTGACTAAAATTTCCGCATCCATTCTTGAAGCAACAAAAAATGGAGAAAAGTGAATATTTTAATTTTAATACAAAAATAAATGATATATAGCAAAAGCAACAAAAAAAAAATGAAGAAAAGAAAAATTTTAATTTTAGTACCAAATATATTATGTACAGTTTTTAATAGTTATACATAGCAAAAACCAGTATATTTACAAATTACCCAAATCATTCTTATCCTCTCTGGTTTCTTTTTTACAATAAGTGAGGTAGTAAATAATTATTTTAAATTTCATTTAAATAATTATGACATTTAAAAGCATAATGAAAAAATGTACAATATCAATTCATGAAGAACTATCAAATTACTCATTTTATCTATCCAATTTTTACCGTTTCTCACTTACCGTACATATTTCCATATTTAAGACAATGGTATAAAACAAACGAAAGTTTGGTATTAGCCGAAACAAAAGCATATTGGTACGGACGTAATTGGGGATGTATATTTGCTGAGAGAAGTTGCTATGAATATATCATCAATCGGCTTTCACATCGGTATCATTAAAATATTTTATAGTTTTCTTTTTTTTTTCTCCTTCTTGTAGTTCTGTGTGATCAAAGTTTAAATTAGAAATTTGATTAAATTAGTATTTATTATTACTCTTCTCATTTACATGTAAATTTGGTGATGATTTAAATTTAAGTAATTATTAAAATAAAATCAATCATCTGTTGAATACTGATATTGATAATATGTTTAATATAAAAAAAATTTATCAATTTGACAAAAACTTTGAGATATAACTATTTTTTTTTATTGCTTTTCATAACTTTCATCATCAAAAATTTACAACTCTATTCTTATCCAATCAAAAATTATTTTATTTTTTTTTAGAAAAAATGTCTTTTTTTTTTTGGAAATTAAAAACTGGTTCGATATAAATACAAATACAATCGTCCTTGAATATATTCATTTATCATTTTCCGCACTAACTGTTCATCATTTTTTCAGAAATACGACTTTTCCATTTTGTAATGCTATCGATTTATTGAACATTTATAAGAAATATGTAAGCATCTCTTTGTTTTTTTTTTCGTTACCAATTAAAATTTATCAATTAAAATAATCAATTATATTTTATAAATTAAAAGCGCCATTTTTGCTTTGGTAATGTATTTCTTTGCTTTTTCTTTTAGAATATTCCAGCAAAATAAAAATAGAATAATAGAACTGTTTCATCGTTACTGTTTAGTGCTATTAATCATTACTGTTTATCGTAATAGAGATATGAAAATTTGTTTACACTTGAAAAACCCGGAACCTATGCAGATGGCAAATGATTATTACTTATTGATGATGGAGTAATGGAAGAGTATTATCGGTAAATATGCATACAATTACATGTT